TGCACCAAATCACTAAATTATAACAGGAGAGTAACATCTTAGCGTAATAATCTTAATGGTCGTTGAGGTACAGCTTGCACCACGCTGACAAGGGCCAACAGCCCGAAACGCGTTCGTGGTTAGCTTTTCTTGATTAATCAAGAAACAGTATTTGGCCAATTCTGGAATAATTAAAAATCAACGATTAAGTTATATTTATTTCGATAGATGGCGTAAGCCATCAGCAACTTTCAGTTGCACGATAAGGAGATGCCTTTTTTCTTCATCTTAATTCCGCCAAACAAAAGCTCCAACTAATGCGGTTTTGTGTTTATATTTCATTTGAATTATATTTATAATGAAGGAAATGACATTCAGTATAGAAGTCTTGTAGGAAGAGAACCAGGCCAACAAAATGTCAACGGAGGGATACGACAGTCGCTGGAGGGTCGCGCGTGGGTAAACACTCCAGGGGCTATCTTTAGTCCGCCTCACTCTGGCAGGGACCCTTCCTGGAATGTAGGACGTCGTTCTGGACTCTTGTGCCCTTGTTGTATAGAGAACATCAGAGATTAAATCATTCTTCTATAAGAATTCTGTTATAATTTTACCAAGGTTATCTATATTACCAAGGTTGTGCCAAAAGTTTGTATACACTTATAAAATATTGTAGCGAATTATTAATTATTTTACACTAGTATTAACAGAGTATCATTTTTTTATGTTTATATTTTACTATTCTTTAAACCTCCCTCATTGATTATCTTTTGTTTATCCTTCATAGTTTGTTCTTGCCTTAAATAAATTTCTGTATCATCCTGAAGATTGTCTTCCCTAATTTTCCACTTGGCATTATAAATCATAATATGTTTACGAACTTTTGGAACAACCTCATAGAACCTCCAAAGGTTTACGTGTCCAAGGCACAGTTTTAACCAAATGTGTACTTGCTGGCTGGGATAAAGATCTCCTAACAATGGAGCCAGAAAGTCCAGGCAGCCAAGTCCGGCTAAGTTATCAGGGCAGCTGTCCCAGGGGACAAAGGGTCCAGCTGGGAAGGTACGGATATCTCCTCCCACACAGCTGCGGGGGATTGATTCTTACCTCTTTGTCTGTCCTGCAAACATTGCAGCATTCTGCCGCACTCTGTCCGGGATTGTCTAGCTGAGCCTGATCGATGGCACTTAAGCAAGGTTGTCTTACACGTAGGTCTTACAAATTCTTAGTCTGTGAATTACACTCATAGACAAAACTTAAGGTAATAGACAGTCTTTAATGTCGCCTGTTTTCTGCCTTATTGAAAGGAGACAGAGACGATTTTGTTCACACTTTGTTATCTCGCGTCTTCAATAAAGATCAATGTAATATCTTTCAGAGTTATTGTCTGAATCCCAATATACATGCTAAAAGCTACAACTTCCTTAAGTTTTATCCATGAGGGTAAACATTTGTACATCTCTACATTGTGCTTCTCCTTGTTTCTCTGAGTTTATAAAATTTGAGAGAGGGAATTCAAACATAAAAGCACATAAAACAAGTAAATTAGTATCTTTACAACGTTTTTTTTTGGCTTGAAACCTCGCTCTGTTTTATCGTAATATAGAAAAACCGATGGGTTCTCATTGTGTTTTATAAAGACCCAGCAGTTTTCCATAATTCAGTGTAGGTTGTCTCTATGCGGTCATTGAGTACACGTCGACCTACAGACCAACGGAGCGTGCGGCTGAAGAGACATTCCTGGCTACAGATGATTGTGTTAATGATGATGAAGTGGGACAGATTGTACGGGAATATTGTCATCATCCATCAACCATTGCTAGAAGGTTCTTCTAGTCAAACGAGGAGGATAGGCTGAGGATTCTTGCACAAGAGCAGGAGTGGATTTCACACACACACACACAAAATTGGAAAATATTATGAAAGATGAAGATATTCCATACAATACAAAGAATATAATTGTAATAACATTAGTATTCCCTGTGGTTGTCCATGGATAAGAGAGCTGAATTCTTAGAAAAGGAAAATAATATTCGAAACTTTCAAAAATTGAACATGGAGAAATCTTCTCAAAGTGACATGGACAGGGATAGAAAGATCCATAGATTACAAAATATGTGAACATGTAAACATATGAATTCATTTTAAAAATAGAGCAATCCGCTTTTTGTTAAAGTGGCGCTGAGTTTGTTGTTGACCCACATTAATATGTTATAATACCTTGATAAAGGTTGGCGTTCAGCCAACTGAAATATTGGTAAAATAAATTATATTTTGATCCAAACACACACACAAAGCTTTATTAAGACCACCGGTCTTATCAGGAGTAGATACCATTATCACAGGTTTGTGGATTTCGACAAACTACAAAAAGGTATAAGACACCTAAACTCTTTTTAGTATTTGTATAAAGTAGCTTTAGGGCAGGTTTTAGTTTGCTGAGGAAGGACTTGCCGAAAGTTACTTGATACAATTAATAAAAAAGATTTTCAGCGTCTTATGACATTTTGTAAGTAGTGGATTTATGTGAAAAAAGATCAACCTCTCTAGTAGACTCGGCTCAGTGACAAACCAGCTATGGACAATTCAGAAGGCTCATCTGAAGAACATGGTTTCGATCTATGGTCCTTATTAAGTCTAAAACAAGCTTTGATTTCACGATATCCACAAGAGAATCATAAAATCTTTAGACCCTGCTAAAGATATGTTTATCTGACAAAGTGGCTAGACCAGGGGTCGCCAATCTTCGGCGGCTCCCAAGCCACATGTGGTTCTTTGAATGTGAAGCTCTTTATATAGTTCCATATGTAAATATTATTTATACGTGTACTATTTATTGTTGGCAAGAAAAAAAATTTGTGGCTCTTTAAAAACTTTGATATTTTGAAAATTGTAATTTTTGACTTTTCTGACTCAAAGGTTTGCCGATTCCTGGACTACACCAAATTTATGGACAAAAATATGGATGAATTTTTTTTTTTCGTGAGGATATCTGTGTGATTTATAAAAAGTAATGGGTTTCTTTTTGCCAAACTGGATACAAAAACTATGCGCCATCTTAGCAGTGGTATTCTAACTCTGGATTTTATTCTTGTGTATTTTTGTGGTAATTATATTTCTCATTTTTGATAGATACTAATTTACCAAAGAGACGCGCCTCTATCCCTTTAAATATATATTAAAACAAATTTATCACACCCAGTACAAGACGTAATGGTGATGAGAAAGAATTTATCTCAACTCTTTTTGTACACGAATACCACTCTCCCGTGAATGTATGTTAAATACCAATACCAGGTTTTCAAACTGAGTTGATATCGAGTTTCTGAAATCTCTAACAATGATCCAACAATAGTACAACAATGGCATTCCCATTGTTGTAATTCCAGCGGCGGGGATATGTAATCGACCATGAATCATAATGCCAGGTGCAGCATGCCTCAGTCGGCTATTTGTGTGGACCAGGACATTGGTAATCCAACGAGGTACACTTCTTTTCTTTCTTCCTATATCTCTCTACCATTGAGGAATATCCTTCAATCTGTAAAAACTTGTAATTCTATCGCCCCGAATATCCTTGTAACCACAGACTATGCCGGAAAAATGAAGCAGAAAAAGGAAATATATCGAAAATCCATCTGGGACTACATTTCTTTAAAGAGACAGAGACTTTTCACACTTGGTTATCTCGTGTTTCTTCAATAAAGGTCACTGTAATATCTTTCAGAGTTATTGTCTGAATCCTGATATCAATGCTGAAAGGTACAACTTCCTTAAGTTTTGTCCATGAGTGTATCTTACAGAGTTATTGTCTGAATTTCGATATACATGCTGAAAGGTACAACTTCCTTAAGTTTTGTCCATGAGTGTATCTTTCAGAGTTATTGTCTGAATCTCGATATACATGGTAAAAGGTGCAACTTCCTTAAGTTTTGTCCATGAGTGTATCTTTCAGAGTTATTGTCTGAATCCCGATATACATGCTAAAAGGTACAACTTCCTTAAGTTTTGTCCATGAGTGTATATAGATAAACAATCACACTACTAAACCTAACATTCAGAATATATCCATTTCACAAACATTACTAAATATGGATTGTGTAAGAACATTGTTTCAACACCACGAAATGTAACTTAAAAATAAGGATTTCCAAGAAGTTATTACAGTGTGGTCGGGTCTTAATTCAATTAGACAAGATGATGGACGACGCCTGCGCCCTCTGAAAAATTGAAAAAAAAAAAGAGGAGAGGCTGAGAGATGGGAGGGGGTGGGGATGTTTAAAATTGAATCGAGCGACCTCTAAGAAGGCGCTAATGTAGCTGGCCGCCGGTTTACTTTAAGAACTCTTTTGTATGCTGATAAACTTTTAGGCCGTTTACATATCATTTTTGTGAAAAATGAACAATAAAATTCAGTAAAAAGATTTACTGGTCGAAGTACCTTTATTTACAAGAAATATGAATGACGGCCAGGCAGCCTCTATCATTGCAATAAAATCCAGGTAAACAGTTTCTACTAATTTATGTTTTTCAAACTTTAGAGTAAATTTATGATCTTAAACGGGCAGATATTTCTATGTTTGAATGTAATTCTACTGTCCTATAAGCTTATGTCCATATTTTTCTTGAAAACCATTTCTGAGATTCCATCCTTCAGTGCTGCGTATATAAGCAGAATCGTCCAATACAGTAGTAGAGCTCTGAGAAGCAATATGATGGATTAAATTGGCGAAACCGCTGGGAGGGTTCACCACTGATGAGCCAAGACCTCCCAATATATTTTTTCATCGCAGTAAGGACAGTAGAAGTTTGTATTATGTATAAAAGAAACATTCGTGCTTTTAAATCTTTTCATTTTATAAAACGACACTTGAAGTTACACCGCATGAGTTTCTTTTAAATGAAAAATCAAATTTTTATTTTAAGGTAAAATATCGACTATTTTTAACTTTTTTTTTTTTACCTTTTTTGGATGAGGTATGAAAGGGTGAATTATGAAGAGTAATGACGAACGGAAAAATAAAAGTGCCCAGGGATGGGAATCGAACCCACAATGTTCCGCTTACCGGGCAGATGCCATGTCCACTAGACACTAGACACTAAAATATAAATATTTCTATGTACAATACCAGGATGATATCTTGGTATTGTACATATAAATATTTTCCCGTTGAAGAACAGAAAATTTCCTCGAAATCTTGCAAAACCAAAATTAGTAGGAACTCTTTACCTGAATTTTATTTTTCCTTTTTCAAATAATTTCTGGCTAACTATTGTTCACATAAAATATCATTTTTGTCTCTTTGATAAATTTGAAAACTACATTTCTATTCAACATTTCTATTCAATATTAGTTTATTGCCACGTAGAAAATTAAGAAAGACAAACTTTTAGGATGACGCAGCAATTTAGTAGCAGTAGCAACTAGGTAACTCCTGGAGTGTATCCATAGATCGCCAACTACCCAGGCTGTCCTGTAGTTTAGGTCTTGGTAGCCTTAGTGAACCAGTTTTGGTATTAGTAACAACTAGGTAACTCCTGGAGTGTATCCATAGATCGCCAACTACCCGGGTTGACCTGTGGTTTAGGTCTTGGTAGCCTTAGTGAACCAGTTTTGGTATTAGTAATAACTAGGTAACTCCTGGAGTGTATCCATAGATCGCCAACTACCCGGACTGTCCTGTAGTTTAGGTCTTGGTAGCCTTAGTGTACCAATTTTGGTATTAGTAACAACTAGGTAACTCCTGGAGTGTATCCATAGATCGCCAACTACCCGGGCTGTCCTGTAGTTTAGGAGTCTGTCTTGGTAGCCTTAGTGAACCAGTTTTGGTATTAGTAACAACTAGGTAACTCCTGGAGTGTATCCATAGATCGCCAACTACCCGGGCTGTCCTGTAGTTTAGGTCTTGGTAGCCTTAGTGAACCAGTTTTGGTATTAGTAACAACTAGGTAACTCCTGGAGTGTATCCATAGATCGCCAACTACCCGGGCTGTCCTGTAGTTTAGGAGTCTGTCTTGGTAGCCTTAGTGAACCAGTTTTGGTATTAGTAACAACTAGGTAACTCCTGGAGTGTATCCATAGATCGCCAACTACCCGGGCTGTCCTGTAGTTTAGGTCTTGGTAGCCTTAGTGAACCAGTTTTGGTATTAGTAACAACTAGGTAACTCCTGGAGTGTATCCATAGATCGCCAACTACCCAGGCTGTCCTGTAGTTTAGGTCTTGGTAGCCTTAGTGAACCAGTTCACCAAGTGTTTCCAGGCCGATTTGTTTCTTAGTAGATTCAACAGGGCAGTGCCATTGAATGAGAGCAGTCCAAGTAATGTAGCCGTCTGAAATCGCTGTAGTTGAAATGCTCGCCAACTCTACGCAATTTATTTAAGTCAAGAACAAATTAAAATTTAGAAAATACCAGAGAGGCAATAAGGTAAGTATATAAAGTATGTAAATATAAATAATAAAATGAATAATCTGTTAATAAAATAATAAAAATTTTGCGCTACAATATATAATATCAAAATTTGGATTTTTAGTAGAGACTTAGAAACCCACAGATTAGCCAGAGCAAGGCCTAAATCTCGGCCGTTAAGCCTAGCAGCCATAAGGGAAGTATGTAAATAGGACAAGAGGCTGCTAACCTATTCACTCAACATAAGAGAGTTAAGGAAATCACGGAGAACCATTATAAACTGATTTAGTAAAAGGAAACTCCATAGAATGGTAAACCAATAGGAAACAAACAGAGTGTTTTTAATAGAGGAGTAATTTACCTTAAAAAACGTGAAAAAATTAAGGAAAAATTGAAGATAATGAGGTGATTACAGCAAGGCTATTGTAGACAGTCATTATGGTATATTATAATATAGTCTGATCTAGCTGGCCGTTATTTCATGATGATTTCATGATATTAATGGATTGTGTGTCATACACATGATTCTCATTCCACTAAATGTGAAATATTGTAGCGTAGAAATCAAGTCTTTGTATATCTGGAGATGTGAAAGTATTTATTGATGACGTCACCACGACTAGTCGACAATTATCAACAAAACTATCTACAGCTAGAGAATATTGAACAAGCAAGCTAAGAAATATTTTTATGATGATTTTACAAATACAGAGTAATATATATTTATATAATCTGTTGAATATTTTCATTAAATAATTATTATTACCAATTATTTTATTTCCAAAGCGCTATATCCCGCAAGGGATACTTGCGCCAAACAAGGAGAAAAGTTCATTTACATAAGTTATTTACATTATTCAACGCATGAAAACATTAGAGATCCAGATTTTGTAGAAAGTTTAGAATGTATTTACAAAATGAATTGAACTTTAAATATGATTTTTATCGGAAATCAAATCGTTAAGTTCACAAACAACTAGTTCATTCTTCATTCTATAATCTTGAAATGCTGGGCAATAAAGTAAATAAATAAATAATAAAATATAAATTATTTCTTCATCACAATATAATTTTTTTAATTCTTGAGCAGATTCTGATCATGTTGAGCAGATTCTGATCATGATGAGCAGATTCTGATCATGAGTGGGGCCAATATTCTCTACCATGAGTTCTCATCAGTTTGATAATCATCTGTAGCAGTAAATTATCAAAAGAAAAAAATCAAGAAACAAAGAGTTTCTTTTTAAGGTTTTTTTTATTATTATTTAACCAATCTTTCAAGCATTTCTGTACTTCTACAGGAATAAAAAGAACAAAAGAAATCTTCCAAATTAACATTTTGAATCATTTTGTTTGAAACATAAAGGAAACACCACATACATATATTGTTTAAAAACCACTATGTAAATAAAATATAGCATATATATAAATAACTCCACTTCTCCCATCCATATTTCCAAATCCATATTCTTATTTTCCATAGGATCATTCAAATAATAATCTGTATATATTTACCATGTGTATATAATCTTTCTCCATTTTTACCCCATTGTATATTTCCCACTTTCATAGGTTTCTCCGTCTTGTAACCCCAAGGCGAATCCTCTGTAAGACCTGTGTGTCTTAATAAAGGCTTTTGTGTGTGTGTTTGTATATATATAAATAAAATTTATTATTATAATCTTTATATTTTATTATAGAATGTTTTAAAGTGTAATTTTATTGCTCCTGTGTTAATGAGCTCACATTTTTACTCCTGTAAAAGGATAGAAATACTCGAAAAAAAGCTCGGATGAATAAAAAAACCTTGAAAAAAAACTCTTTATCTCATGATTTTATACTTTGTATAAGGATTACACTTTTAAAATGATTACTTATTCCAAATATTATAGAAATAAACATTGAGCCAAGTTTCGATGGATAAATCGGTGTTATGAACTCCCCTCCCAACCAAACATTGTAATGTAAGTAGCAAGAAATTATTCCAAACATGTTTGTTGTGTTCCAGGTAATTAAGTAAATTGTATTTTTGTGTCGCAGATAACCTCACGTCTTCTGTAATATTTCATCCTAATCTTCTGGGTCACCTGTGTTTGACCTGGAATGTGACCTAACTACGTCTTTTTATACTTGCTTTTTATAGTACTGGCTTTGTCGTACATTGAGTTAGTTGTGTCTCCTTTAGTGTATTTAATATATATATACCCATACCTCGCTTTGCGTCGAGGTTACGTTCCAAAAAAAAAAAAAAGACGACGCAAATTGAAACGACGCAAAGTGAAAATAAATTTTCTATAGAAAACCATTTAATGAATTTGCGTTGATTTTTAGTTAGAAAGGGAATCCCCAAATTTTGATGGCATGGCGCAATCAAAAACAAAGGTGTTGCCATATTTTAGGAAAAAAAAATAATTAAAGACTCGAATCCAAAAACTTCGAAAATCTAACGACGCACAGTGAAAATCAGTAAAAATTAAGCAGCGACGCAACTTCGAAAAAAACGCAAAACGAAACGACGCAAAGCGAGGTATTGGTGTATTATTAAAAATAGATTTCTGTTGATTTTGATTATCTTGAGGATTATGCTATGGTAATGCAGTCGTAGCAAAAATTTTGAATGTATACTAAAAATAGTCTTAATCAGTAATTGCTTTAATTGAGCTAAAAGAATATATAAAAACATAGTTTAATAAAATTACTGCCTGGCTTAAGGCGTAAGAATAAAAATATAATGAAAAACTTATTTACATAATGTAAAAAAGATTTGAGCCGGCCATCGGGAAACAACAACAATCGGTTTTATATAGGGAAAGCCCCGACATCTGGTGGTAGATATGAACAGAATATTTGAATCTATGAAATATAATTTTAAATAAAATAATATTTTTATATAACATATATATTTATGATTCTCCTGTTAAACATCCTATACTTTACCTTACTTCAACTGTCCTCTAATGTCCTAACAATGTGACGTAAGGAAAAGACAAACAAAACATCAATCACATCACCCATAGTTATCTGTAGTTATACACTCATAGACAAAACTTAAGAAATCCCTTGAATCAATTATGAGTAAAATTATTCATGCCTCTAGGAAAAAGTGTCTTTTCCCTTGCATCAATATGCTTCCTTTCCCCTATCTAACTGAGAGATCCTGTCCCTGTCTGGAGGAAGGACAAGATGGAGGAGCCTTCCTGAGAACTAATGTTTACATTTAATCACCACATTATTAATATCATCATTCCTTTGTTTAACTTCTCATTAATTTTTGTTACAAGTAAATAAGTGAAAAAAGTACAAATGTGAAATTGTACTGGGATAAGGTACATATATTAAGAAAGAAAAAAAAAAGGTATTTCCTTATCGCGCAACTGAAAGTTGCTGATGACTTGCACCAAATCAACGAAATATTGATATTTATTCCGATAGATGGCGTAAGCCATCAGCAACTTTGAGTTGCACAATAAGAAAATGCCTTTTTTTCTTCTTAATTAACTGAAGTTCAATACAAAATGTTGAGTTGTGTCTAACATCGAGACTGCTATTACAATTCATATTGCAGTGAAGACACGGTGGGTGGTACACATGAAAATATTCTACGCCATCTTGAACTAAACATATGCGTGGAGAAAATATGCAAAAAGGAAAGGGTTACGTTACGGAAATTAAGCGATTCGCTCATTACGCCA